CAGATTTAGCAGCCCTTCCCCTTTCAACATTGAGGACTGCACACTTATCTGTCCCCAGCTCCATTCTAATAGAATTGCCAAAATCACAAGTGATGTTTAGCAATTCCATAAGATGAGAGCGACTGGAGGCGAATAATTTGAGATCATCCATATAGAAAAGGTGGGTCACTTTTGTACCTCCTTTCCGAAGCTGAAATCCCCTCCCGGAACCTTCCAGTAAGGTACTGAGAGGGTTCAGAGAGAGGCAGAACCAAATTGGACTCAAACAATCGGCCTGGAAGATACCCCTTCTTATCCTTATGTGGTTCTCCGCAGCCGTCATCCGCTCGCCTAGACGACAAAGGATCGTACTCCACTGCCCCATACACTGCCCGAGCAAGTTTCGAACTGTACAGTTAACCCTGTACAGCTCGAGGACCCTCTTAAGCCATGTATGAGGCACCGAGTCGAATGCCTTTTTGTAGTCTATACAGGCTGCGGAGAGGTTCCGACGATTACGTTTAACCACCTTGCCAATGACCGCGTCAATGACGAGTGATTCCTTGGTTCCACGACCACCGCCCCTACATCCATTCTGAGCGCGCGACATAACCTGATTTGAGTTCAGGTGACAAGTGATTCTCGCGCTCGAAATGGATGTTAGTGTCTTGTATATCGTGGGTAGACACGTGATGGGGCGGTATTTGCTCGGGTCTGTGGTATCCTGATCTTTAGGAACCAAATGAGTAATCCCAGTAGTGAAGAGGCTCGGGAGCGATTTCTGGTCGAGAGCCTCTTGAAACTGTCGGGCGAGCACAGCGTGACACACCAAGAACCCCTTCAGCCAGTAGTGATGCAGCCCGTCGAGCCCCGGACTTTTCCAGTTCGGTGTCCTACGGACCGCCTCAGCTACGTCATCCGGCATTATGATGACGGGGTCCATGGGCGTAACATTCGTACACTGACTCGCCACAACTCCCGTCCAAGGGCCCTTGCTGTGGTTTACGGGCTCTGACCACAGGCCGCGCCAGAATGCGAGTGTCAGCTTGATTCGGTGCTGGTCCCGTTCCACGTACCATTGGTCGCTCCAATGGTTCATAGAGCTTCTTCTGATCACTCTGGAAGAAACGATTCTGGTTGAGCTGTGTCGACCTCTCGGTATATCGCCGAATCCGCTTCCCCCAAGCAGCAATTCTCTGCTTCAGGTCATCTATGCGCTCCGTCAGTTTTTGCGTTATATCCTGCTTGCCAAACATCAGTTTGTCCCAGCAAACGCTATCCTGTCGGGGCGCTTATCGGCCTATTATTGCCCGACCTGAAGCTTATCAGCCTGCTGATGAGGGCCCTTGCCTTTGCGATACGGTCCTCGATCCTTCTTCTCCAGGCTGGGATGGCGCTACTTTGTCTAGTAGCGCGTCCAGCCGTGGGAAGTTTGGCGCCAATAATACGGCAAATTGCCAGTGCGGCGCCAAAACGAACTGAGTCCGTCTCGCAAAGGTCCCGGCTGGCTTCCAAATAGGTCACCAGCATTGGGTTGAGAGCCCTTACGACAGCCCGATTCCGCTTGCTTAGGGGTATGTGGGGAAGTCGCGGTCGATTTTCGAGAGGCATACTGCGCGTTTCCACAATCGCCTCCTCCAATTTACTCCTCATCTGCTCTAGTTCTTGGGTGACCATTCCATCATCGCCTGAATCAACCAAAGCGGGAAGATCCATGGCGGCTTCCACATATGGCTGCTGGTCTATGACCTTAGAAGCCGCATCCCCAGCTATAGCTGGTTCATTCGATGAGGGAATAGCCTCACGCCGTAGTCTTTCGAGTTCGGCATCATCAAATATTTTCGAGCGTATGATGTACCGAACTCGGTCTGCCAGGTTTTGCTCTGAGACGGGAACAGACGGCTCCAGCTCAGCAGAAAAGCGATGCATCCGAGCCCGATACGCTATCCCTCCAGTTTCTTCCCCTTTCGCCCTATAGTACGCCCGCAATGCGTTTATGTTCAATATTTTGTCCAACGCATGTGGCGTACTCCACCAGCGGCGGGTGCCGCTTGCCGAGTCCGAGAGGACCCTGCCGACACCAAGCCGTCTGGTGGGGATGATGGATGCGAGGTGCTGCTAGGTGGTCATGCAGCACCTCGCGCTCGGCTGGCGGCCCGCATGCTGTCGCGTCCAGCTCCAGCTCCAGACACGCCATGGCGATCCACAGGCAGCGGCCCTATGCGCGTTTTATTTTTATCCATCATCCATAAAAGTGGGCGTCAATTAACGGGAGACGCCCAGACCCGGCGCCGTTTAATAGTGTGGCCGTAAGCACAAACGGGCCTTTGCACCCTCAATACTGCCGAGGCACGGCGCTCACACCTCTTGGCAAGGCGCTGACTGACTGCGCCGACGTAGCAGTTTTGTCACTTAACTGTTACGTCAGCGAGCGATGGGGTCGTCACTTGCCTACGCCTCACTATTATTATTATTATTACTCATCTTAATTATAATTAACAGTAGGTATTAGTGATATTAGGTCAACCTAAAAAAATGATTGTGTTTTATCAGAATCGGTCTAATGAATCGTAATATATAGCTTGAAATAAGAATGCGAGATCTTTGAAATTGCAGGTAACTTGGGTTTATCACTTTTTTTCGTTAACACTTTGTATACGTACGCCTTTGAAGTGTAGCGATCTAAGCGGTAAGCGTTTGAGTGCAAAATCAATAAACACAATCACGAAGATTGTAATTATATGAGATTATAACTATATGATAATTTTATTTTCATCTTTATATATTGTGGCTAAGAAATAAATACGTTTACTTAAATACATTTGGATATTTCATTCTTACTGCGTCTAACATGGCATTACAGATCTTCAAATCTACACCATGTGTTGAATCCAGGAGTATATTAGGGATCTAGTTCCATATTTATAGAATTAATCTCATGGATGCAATTTTGACATTCACACCTGATCTCCTGATTTCGCACTGTGATATGTATAAACCACGGAGCAAATACAAAAGGGGACGGCCTAAGCAACTGTGCACTGTGATTCTAGCTAGATCCTGACGTCATCACAGTGTGCGTGGCTTTAGTTTGTAATTTGTATGTGTCGAAAATCGCAAATCGGTGTATTTTCGTAGTATTAAGAAGAAAAGGATGAAGTGTTGTGTTTTATTGTGTAGAAACTACTCAGATGGACGCCCTGATGCTATTGATGCCATCACATTTCATTTTAAGTAATTTTATACCTAATTTATTAAAATAGTTCTAGAAAAATCTCTGCGTCGGTTTTCAAATATAATTAAATATATTCGACACTAGATGGCGACACTTTGTGTCATAGGAACTAAAAATATAAAGGTACATAAAGCTCAGTATTGACAAAATAATCATACGAAGGTGCTGAAATTTGTTTTGCATTCAGTCCTAAAGAATTTTTAATCGCCAAAATATTATTTTTATAATAATTTTGTGAAAAGGTCGCCATCTATCGTCAAGGTAGCTAAACTACATTGCAACATCGATATGGAAGATAATTATTTTTTTTAATTATTTTATAAGAAAATAAAGCTTAAAAGTTCACGGGTCAAGTGATAGATAGATAAATATGTAGCAAGCTAGGTCAAACGAACAAGTCACACGCACACACTCTATCATACACTTACACACACACACATACACGCACGCACGCACACACGCACGCACGCACGCACACACGCACGCACGCACGCACGCACCCACGCAATAAAATGATCAACGTCAGGTGTTTCGTCCTGGATACTTCCATACAACTTGCCTTTGTCTTCTTGGTCTTTCTTCCACATATTTTTCCATAATAAACGGATATTTCTTATTTCAGTATATCAGTCAGTAAAAGATAAAGGTAAAATATGGCTCAGATCAAGTGGATTTATTCCTTTACATGCAGTCTTATCAGTGATTTCATTTCCAGTAATACCTTTATGTGAAGGAATTCACATAAAGGCGAATTCAATGTGGGTCAGCTCGATCAGGCAAGCACCACGCTCCTGAATACCAGCGTGAAATGGCATCTTAATGTTGCCGTTTCTCATACAGTGAATGATACAGTGAAAGTGGTAACAAGTATTGCTATTTACCAGTCCTTAATGGTGGCGCGCAACTTTATAACAACATATATAACTTATAACAGTCCAAACAGACATGGTTCGTTTCCATTATAGGCAATTATATGAATAATTTGCTATAGTCGCCAGGCTTACCAGGCGGTTTGGCTGTGATATTACCAAACCTCCTGGAAGCAAAGAGGTACTTCTGGCATAGTCGCCTCTTACGGCTCCAACAGGACGAAGGAGAATAACGGGCTTTGGGGTAAGTTAAGAAAACGAAGGATTAAAGATTTGGATTCCCAATCTATTCAAAGTAAAACATTATTAACATTATTACACACTACATTTTATACGTGGTAGAGCCATGCTGCAGCATATTTCTGGTATAGTAACACGAATGGGTCGGATCGGCCGGGGAAGGACCACGCTCTCACAGAATACCAGCGTAAAATAGCAGCTTGATGCAGCTGTGTTTCGTATGGTGAGTGTAGAGAACTGGAGACCCTTTTCACTGGAAACGAGGCATTCCATCTTACTCCTCATGGGTGACAACTGACAACGTATCTGCATTTTGATTCGTAATCGAGGATAAATGTAGATGTCTATGGGCCACAGCAACCACTTACCATCAGGTGGACTGTGTGCTCGTTTGTCACCCTTATCCTATAAAAAAAAATACTAATACCAACGATTTAACGGAAAGTAAAATCGTTGGTCCTGCGCCTGTTCTGTCTCCGGTCGTGTCGGTTTGCCGTCCCATCGGACTAAGAGCGAGAGTGAAGGAATAGAGAATGTACTTGTGCTTGCGCATACACTCGGGCACTATAATCCCGTACTGCAGAGATCACTAGTCTCCGTTAAGACTGGCCGCATTCAATCACAGATTGAAATGTGTATTATCCGTGTTTTTGGAAGAAAAAATAAAACCAACAAATCAACTTTCAATTTTTTCTTTAATCCATAATTTAAAGCTTACATGAGTTATGTATTTCATTTAGTAAATATTTAAGCGGCCCATTGTTGCGCGCCGCCTGTCCGAAAAGTCTGAAAATTCGCTTCAATCGTCCCTAAATAAGAACCAAAATCGCTCAGCAACCGTATCTGATATGATGCCAGTGCTGGTCCTTCAATCATCATGAATGAATCAGTTTTCGTTTGCTCAAATAATATCAAATTAATCCACTAATATCATATTATATTTATAGAAGGAAAAAAGGAATATTATACGAGAAAGGAGTATATATGCCAAATTTTATGTCAATCGGGCGTGTAATTTTTGAGATCTCGTGATGAGCCACGCTCCAACGTGGTAGAGCCATGCTTCAGCTATATTATGTTAGGCCCAATTGACACTACCGCGGAACGGAACGGAAGCGAATTTTTGTAACGAAATTGTACATAGTAAAATGAGTTTTATGTTAATTGCATAAAGTTCAAACTAGATATGAGCCAAAAAAAGTCGCGCGTCTTCCGTGAAATTCTCGAGAATTCCCCTAGCTACTGTTGGCGCAGTCTGTGGAATCCGCGGGAAGCGGCGTGAAGATTGTGGAATCCGCTGGAAGCCGGGAAGTGGCACTCGCAGCAGTGCGGCGTCAACTTGTTAACTCTAATGTATAAATTGTGGTGGGAGCTACACGAAACAGTTCACCTCCCACCGACAAAAAAAATGAATAAGTACATTGGTTTTTTATATAAAATTATAAAAATATTGTCTCCTAATAATTTACCATTTCATTCCCTTCTTTACATTTATATTATTTCAGCTCATATAATTCATTATTTAATTGTACCATTACTTTCACATACATGTTCCTTGTACAACTCTTAGTAAATTCTCATGTCCCTACTACATAAAACTCAATTAGCATTTAGTCACATCCGAACAACCTTAATAAATTAATCGGTTATTAGGTCTTCCAAACTCTCAGCTGATTAGGCCAATTGCAATTTGCAAGTGAATATGTTAACCTTCGACATTTTTTTTTACCGATGTCACTCACACCTATACATTATATTTATACAACAATCAATTTTTAAATTAAATGTACGTATTCCGTAACTTAGCCATTAATTAAACTACGTCTTTTACACATTCATATCGTAAAGTCTCATAAAGTATTTAGGCATATTAAACGAGGTAGGGCCATGCTGCAGCTATATTAATTGTATAGTTGTAGCACAAATGGGTCGGCTCGACCGGGGCAGGGCCACGCTCTCACAGAATACCACCGTAAAATAGCATAGCTTAATGGCGCTGTGTTTCGTATGGTGAGTGTAGAGAACAGCAGACCTTTTTAACTGGAAATGAGGGCATTACATCTTAGTACTCATGGCTGACAACGCATCTGTATTTTGATTCGCAAACGAGGATTGTTGTATGTGTAAGGGGCCACAGCAATCACTTACCATCAAGTGGACTGTGTGCTCGCTTGTTACCCTTGTCCTAAAAAAGGAAATTAGGCTCACAACATCAGCAGAACAAAATTTAAGTAAATTATTTGTATATGTTTCAATTTGAAAGATACAAAGTAATTATTTTCATGAAACACATAAATATAAGTTAGATATTAAAACTCTAATGAATTTAAATGTTAAAAGCTAATGATTTGAAAGTGCAATCAATATAAAACTGAAAATTTATTGTTACACATTAAGATGTAAAGAACAAATAATTCAATGTAAAGTAACGTAATCGTTTTATCACAACAACAGACATCAAAATACAAATTGCAATCCCAGCAGTGCAAGCGATTTGTGACACCATGTTTTAAATTCTAAACAACATACATATATAAACGTTTGCGATTACGTCGTATTATGATCACCTAATTTTAACATAACTTGTATAATATGTTATTATTGGATATATGAATACAAGTAAAATGAAAAACATTAAAATTATAATTTTAAGTATTTTTAAATTTACACTAAAGTTTAGATAGTTATTACATCCATAAAAAATTCGTTAGTTTAAAAAAAACCCGACCAAGTGCGAGTCGGACTCGCGCACCGAGGGTTCCGAACAAATCCGTAGGTATATGAGTTTAAAAATATTTTTATCATATGATGTAACTAAACATTTATGCTTTTCGCAATTTTTCCTTTATCTGTGCTATAATACGTTGTTTCGTACCAAATTTTAAGATTCTGAGTTCACGGGAAGTACCCTGTAGGTTTTGATTCCCTTGCGAACGGCTGTATCTTTTGATTGTGTTGGCTTAGAAGTTTGATTTTTTCACAGCTCCAGAAGACTTGAGTGTTTGATATGAATTTCAGCTTGATACCTCCACGCGTTCCTGAGAAAAAGGATCTTGACATATCGGCAGATCGGCGACCGTCGCTCTCTGTCGCACTCATTACAACCCGTAGTACATTTAGTCTCCTGTCCATGCAAGATTTATTTAAATATTTTTAAATTATTAACCCCCGGAAAAGCTGTCTACCCTTTTGTGAGAATTTTTTATTATATATAATAAACACGCTGTAAAATGGCAAATTAAATCAAACACTTCTTTTGGGATTTTTGAAAATACAACTTTGGGGTAGTTTGCCCCTATGTCAACCCCTTCAGAAATGTCTGCCATTTTTTTTCTTAATTCTTTATCAACTTAGCTGACGGATAGTCATTATTATTATTCAAATCAAACACTTTTTTTTTGAGCGATTTTTAGCGACTTACCTGTATGCGCAGTAACCAGGTGTACGCAGGCAGGCCAGGCAAACTGTCAAATACCTGTTTATTGAGTGAACTAATACTTTTCGATAAAGTTTCATGATGCATCAAACACTTCATGCAAAATGAGTCATGAGTTCTCGGACCATCAGGGTTTGTAAACATGTTGTAAAATTACACTATTGCACCTTTCACTTAGGTTTGTCACTAATACTTTTTCTAATTATAATTTTAATATTGTTTTTAATCACTATGTTTTAATCACTTTCTGTCTCTACATAAATCTTCAAAGTTTTGTTTACAGTTATACAATCAATTATAGCGTGAGCCTTGTGAAGATTTTATATCATTCGCAATCTCGGTATCTGGACAAACGGACTGAATCAGTTTCAGTAGATGCTCCATGACAGTGAATGGTAGATTATGTTCAGCAACAAACGAGGCTAATTTTGTTTCACCTGAAATTAAAAAAGAAAACCTATATAAGGTAACCAGTTAAGTGCGACTCGCAAATGAACTTTTAGCAGACGGATAGACAGACAAAATTTCAAGTATCTACCTATTATACGGGTTCAAATGATACAGCACTAAAACAGGTGCATGGACTAATGGACAGACAGACAGCAAACTCTTAGTAATAGTCCTTCCTGTTGGCACTCATTGAGTACACAGAACCCTAAAAACTATTTACTACATATTCGTAGAACACAAAAATTAATACCTGTCACAATTAATGATAGGGAGTTAAAATCTACTTGGCTTGTTTAATTTGTATATCAGGAGTTTTTTTGTTCGAGTCTCAAGGGTGACGACGCATCTGCATTCAGAGTCTTAGTTCAACTTAGATGTAGGTGCCTATGGGCCATAGCATCCACTCACCATCAGGTGAACTGTTTTTTTTTTATAGGATCGGGTGACAAACGAGCACACAGTCCACCTGATGGTAAGTGGTTACTGTGACCCATAGACATCTACATCTATCCTCAATAAAGACTCAAGATGCAGATGCGTTGTCACCGGTGAGGACTAAGATGGAATGCCTCTTTGCCAGTAAAAAGGGTCTCCGGCATTCTTTACACTCACCATACGAAACACAGCAGCGTTAAGCTGCTATTTTACGCTGGTTTTCTGTGAGAGCGTGGTCCTTCCCCGTACGAGCCGACCCATTCGTGCTACAACCATAATATAGCTGCAGCATGGCTCTACCACGTAGCAAAGTTAGAGCTGTGTGCTCGTTTATCACTTACTTACATATAAAAAAATTGTTGGAGCACTTTCAAAACGTAATTTTACGAAACAATGTTAATACCCTCAAACTAGTATACTGCTGGCTCAGTATGTGAAGATTGAATGTTTGACACCACTATTAATAGACACATCAATGTCGAATACCCAGTTCATCTTAACATTTTTGAATGAAATACCTTCATTTGTCGGTTGTTTGTCGGTCGATTGCTATTTGCTTGTTCCAATAATAGAACAACACGGGCCACCGACGGACCGGACGGGAGTAGCCATAGCGTTATTCTCCGATGAAGAACTGTCGGTTATTTTTTGCGAGGGGTAATCTGCGCACACAAAAACAATTGTCTGTCACTACGAAACTCACACATAACAAGAATAAACTAACAATTTCACACACACTTATATTATAACAGTATCGCTCGGTGGCAGCGACAATTCGGAACAGTCGCTTGACTGATCTGCATATAGTATGAGGCCGAATGGCCTGTGTTGGTAAACAAATCCGAAGCAACACAACCGTTATTATTTTAATTTTTATTTATAGCAATAATGTGATTAAAAATTACTTATATATTAAAGGTAACCCCATCTTTTTGTAAATTTGACGTGGCAGATATACTTTTGCAGCATAAAAACATTGAACATGAACATTTCGACAATTTTGCAGGATGTAGATTTAGCCGCGCAATTAGATTTATTCTAGTGAGATGTGCGACTGCATCTGCAACTAATTTTATTGTACACATAGGTCCGTGTGGAGTTATACTGTGACAGAGGGGAAAGTCTGCGTATGGCTACTCCCCTCTGATCGACCGGTGGCCCGTGATGCTTTAAGATTCAAATCAACTAACACATTATGATGCTATGTGATGTCGATACTAAAACGCAAAATTTATATGTAAACCACAACCTCAAAAATATTACAACTCGATCTACCTTTTATTAACATTATTCTCTACTCTACCGAGAGTAAAGAACGATAAACAATTTCTTTAATTGGTCTTTTGTATTATCCATTATCTAAAACATTTGACTTTATTTTGATTTTGTTAAAGATTATTTTTAATTCAATTTTTTTTGGAACAACTGCTGTTTTAATTAAATTGCTTCTGAAATATAAAATTGAAAAATATGTGACGTCACACCAGGAAGAGAGGGTTCACAAGTGTGACAAGGGGGAGGGGGGAGGTCGAAAACCATAAAATTTGTGTGACGTAATTTATGGATGGCCCCTTAGATACACAGTTAACATGGTATAGCCACACTGCAGTTTTATTATAGTTGTAGCATGAATGGGTCGGCTGGACCGGGGAAGGACCGCGCCCTCATAGAATACCAACGTAAAATAGCAGCATGGCGATGCTATATTTCGTATGGTGAGAGTAGAGAACGCGAAATCCTTTTACTAGGAATGACATTACAGCTTAGTCGTCTGGGTTGACAACGCATCTACATTTTAATTCTCAATCGAGGATGTAGGTGTGTAGGTCACAGCATCTACTCACCATTAGATGGAATGTGTGGATGCTTAGGAGGTAGTTTTGTGGAGGAGTAGATAAGTGCTATTGACGGCGCCAAGGCGCAGTAACTTAGCTATGACTTGCAGCGTTGATGGCCGCGTGTTCGAATACCGCGCGGAACAAGTATTCGGTATACAAAACCTACAAATAATTGTTCCGAGTCTGGATGTTTTTCCTTGTGAAATTTATTTGTATGTAAACGGCCTCCATGATACAGGAGAATATCCTAATGTGTGGGTAAGATCTCTTATAAAATAAAAAGATAAAAAAAGGATTGAGTTACCATTGAGCAAGTGGTGGTTCGAGTGCATGAGCATCTGTTGCAGGATGCTGCCACTGCCACGGGTACCTCCCGCACCGCTGTACTGCTGCAATCGTCACAAACATAATCATATGAACCGACTTATATACACAGGAGGTAGTTAGAGCCCAAAGAGCAGCGACCTACTCGGACCATGTAATACAATAAAATGTGGGTTTAGATGGAGAATTGTGAAAAAGTGATAAGTAGCTACTAGTTAGCCCATCGCCTACAGAGTACAGTTATTTTAAGGTATAATAATTTAAAGGTACCCTTTATTTTAAGGTATCGAAATTTAAAGGAATGACGTCATACCTCTTACCCTTTTAACCATTATTTTTTCAGTTATTTAATCCCTGCCCGCGAGACATTGGCAAGCGACGCGCGGATCGAAGATTACTTAAATAATCGATAATTTTTTAATAAATGTAATGAAAAATAAAACGATCGGATAGAATCGATTCCAAAGTGAATTGCCTATAAATTGATATTTTTTATAGAAAAAAAAGGAGTATTAGAACTTGTTTAAAATGTGTGTATAACTCTTTATATGTATATAGCTATATTTATGCCGCAGTACTGGCGCACACTAAAATATATTACAAAAGCATAAGGCCTATTTTCAGTTGTGGATTTTAATAGGCTGTAACGGTAATCTTAGTTAGGGGGTGTTATTATTCAAGTTAGGGGGTAGCATTAATTTTAAAAACAACAACAGGCCCTGGGGCATTTTTTTTTTTAGAAATTTGAAGTAAAACATATTTGCATATATAAATTACAATTTTTTTTAGTTCAGTTAGTGTAACTTTGAATAACAAAGTTACATTTCAAACGTGAAGCCAAAACAGGAGAAAATCCTTGGGCGTGTATTTGTGTGTATTTTGGTAAAGATTAAAATCTTTACTAAATCTTATAAGTTATAACCACAATAAAAATTATTATTTTAACACAATATTAACTTGCTTCCTTGTCTGTCTGAAAGTACAAATTTTGCAATCGATTTTTACTAAGGCTTTAAACATTAAACATAATTCAGAACTGACTGACAGAACTAAAAAGCTGAATTTATTTTTTTAATATTTGTTTTTTCAAAGCTTAATTACATTTAATTGTAATATATTAGCTCGTACCCGGAGCGTAGCTGCCGCAAAAGATATAATTGTGCAAAATATCGTTTTAAATTTGGAAAAGTTATATTGATAGAAGGTTGCAATGCAGTGGGCGATATGAATGACAAGCTCGTGGAAACTGTCCATGCGGTCGGAGCTAAGCTTTCCAAGACCCGCTGCAGAAGAACACAAAAACTCTCCGATCACACTCTTAATCTCATGGCTGTTAGACGGGAAATGAAGCTGCAGTCTTCAGCAGATTTGACAGCGTACAGGCAACTGAACAGACAGATCTCCAAATGCATGCGGCGGCAGTTATGCTACTTTAATACAGCTCGTATTGAAGAAGCGATTGAACGAAACCTGGTCTCCAAAGTCTTTGTAAGAGATCTGTCTGCCAGAGAGAGCCAACTGTTGAAGCTGAAGACTGAGTGCAGCAGCATCGTTTCCGGGACACCTGAGATGAGAGGTTCTATGGGCAGCTGTACACATCATCGTTGGAACCATACGCAAGTGTGAGGAGCAATCCAAGAGCACGTCTTAGCCGACACTATTGCGATGATATTCCGGACGTCAGTTTGAGCTGGATAAGAATGGCTCTCCAGCACCTTAAAAACGGCAAGTCCCCGGGCGAGGATGGAATTACAGCGGAGCTTTTGAAAGCGGGTGGAAAACCGGTACTTGAAATCCTTCAGAAGCTTTTTAACTCCGTCCTCCATGATGGCACTACACCGGAGGCGTGGAGCAGAAGTGCGGTGGTCTTGTTCTTCAAGAAAGGCGACAACGCTCTCTTGAAGAACTCATACCGATTTCCCTTCTGAGCCGCGTCTACGTGCTGTATTCGAGAGTCATTACGAATCGTCTCGCACACAGACTCGAAGAGTCAGCCTCCGGAAGAAGCCGTTTCCCGAAAAGGCTTTAGTACCATAGACAACATACATACCCCTTCGGCAAATTGTACAGAAGACTGAAGAGTACAATCTGCCACTTTGCCTTGCTTATGTGGATTATGGGAAAGCCTATGATTACGTCGAAATTTGGGCGGTGCTATTGTCCCTTCAGCGGTGCAAAATTGACTGTCGGTAATGATTTTATATAGAGATATATAAGACTACACATTAAATGAAACTAATTTTACGGATTCTATCGCGTTTAATTTAACTTTTTAATTCCCGACGTTTCGGGTGCTTTATAGCACACGTGGTCACGGGGGGGGGGGGGGACTAAGGTGATTGACGTTCTGATGTCATAGTTAGCACGGCTACCTTCAGGTTTTAATATTAATTTTTGGTCCGATCTACGCAGCTCTATTACTCTATTATAAGCTTATTCTAAAATTAATATTCAAAAACTGAAGGTAGCCGGGCTATGACATCTGGACGTCATAGATCTCAGTCCCTGTCCCAGATCTCCTCCCGTGACCATGGGTGTTGCAAAGCACCCGAAATATCGGGAATTAAAAACTTAAATTAAACGCGATAAAATCCGTAAAAATTAGTTTCAATTAATGACTGTCGGTATATCGAAGTTCTGAAGTGTTTGTACAGTAGGGCTACGATGGCTATCCGAGTACAGAACCAGAGTACGAAACCTATCCAATTGCAGAAAGGTGTAAGACAGGGTGACGTTATATCCCCGAAACTCTTCACCGCTGCATTGGAAGACGTTTTCAAGCTATTGGACTGGAAAGGATACGGTATTAACATCAACGGCGAGTACATCACTCACCTTCGATTTGCCGACGATATAGTCCTTATGGCAGAATCGCTGGAGGACCTAAGCAATATGCTCAATAACTTCAATAATGTCTCCCAACGGATAGGTCTTAAGATGAACATGGACAAAACAAAAATCACGTGTAACGTCCATGTCACACCTATGCCGGTAGTTGTTGGAAACACTAAGGTCGAAGTTGTTAACGAGTATGTTTACCTGGGACAAATAGTCCGACTAGGTAAGTCCAATTTCGTCCAAGAGGTCAATCGACGGATTCAACTCGGCTGGGCAGTGTTCGGGAAATTACGACACATCTTTTCGTCAGGTATACCACAAAACTTGAAAACAAGATTGTACAACCAGTGCGTGTTGCCAGTGATGAATTATGGATCTGAGACGTGGTCCTTCACTGCTGGTCGTATGAGGATGCTCAAGGTCACTCAGCAAGCTATGGTAAGGGCTATGCTCGGGGTTTCTCTGCGTGATAAACTTAGAAATGAGGATATCCGCAGTAGAACCAGAGTGACCGACATAGCCCAACGGATTAATAAGCTGAAGTAGCAGTGGGCCGGCCATATAGCTCGAAGAACCGACAACCGATGGGGAAAAAGGATCCTCGAGTGGCAGCCTTGTAGCGGTAGGCGAAGTGTAGGGCGACCCCCCAACTTGATATAGAGTGATGAAACATGACAAGACCTGATGAAACATGCAGGAAGTCGATGGAAGCAGGTGGCTCAGGACCGTCAAGTGGCGAATTAAGACAAATCCTCCCTATATATAATATAATAGTTCCACATTCAGCAGTGAACTCTTAGAGGCTGATGATGAAGAACAAATTACTTAAAGATAGTAGCCAATAAAAGGGGTTGTACCCTCACCGAGGTGGGCGTGAAGGAGAGGGGCGTGTGCTGCGTGTGGTGCGGGTGGTGCGCGGGCGGGGGCGGGGGAGGCTGCGCGTGCTTGGGCTGCAGCTCGTGGCGCCGCCGGAAGTTCTCGCGCTGCTCCTCCAGCTTCTTCTTGATGAGCGCGCCCTGCATGATGCTCTGCGTGTGCGCCGCCAGCTCGCGCGGCGACGGGATGCGCCCCGCCACGCCTGCCACACCTGCCGCGCCACCCACGCCTGCCACGCCTGCCATACAGCGTCACAAACCAAGACCAATGTTAGTGTTTATCCAAAGTACAAAACTGAAGCTGAAGTTTCACCAAGTGACAAAAATCGTAATTATAAATTATATTATAAAAATTTAATACATCACATTTTTGAAACAGACTAAATGATCGAATCTGAGTTATGTTCAAAATTTCAGGTCTAACTTATCGGTAAGTTAGTTTTAAATCAATTACTAAACTGAATCCATGGAGACATTCACGAAAGAGAGTTAATAAAAAATAAAAACGTGGTAATGAAAACTTGCTTACTAATACTTAAACAAACATTTTTAATAAAATTAATTGACATTTTATAAAATATAAAAATTACATTTTTATTTTAAACTTTGATGCTGGTATATAAACAGCTATGTTAATTTATTGCACTGATCATTGCATGTACTTTAGATTCATAAATACTGTAACAGAATTATAACCACATAAAAAGTAAATAGGTGTCTAGCAATAAGCAGAAAATAACTCAGACCATGAGAACCATAGTGGCCTAATTCGTTAGAAAAGCCTTTTGAGTATCATAGAAAATAAAAACAACAGATTTTTTATCAACTGGCACTTTGTACAAAAATGAATTATTATTTTTGTTTTATATAACTTATCATTTCCCAGTTTAGGATTTTAACAGATATAAAATGGCTTATTGCTAATTTTCTATATTTTTTGTAGACAGGCCACTATAGCATTCGGATTTTATAAATAAAATAGGATGTTAGGCCAAATTGTATATTATTATTGTTTAGCATCAAAAATACAATTAACATTACAATACAGTACACTTAACATTAACAGAGAACTTACTTGCATAATCACTATTAATGTCATCCCCAACATTTTCTTACTGACACATTATCCTTGATACTGATATAAAAGCTGTGATACACAGGCGGTATAAATGGCAAAAGGTCTAATAGGTCCTTTTTTTTTTCAGAACTTATAAGTTTACCATCAGGCTATAAAAGCTTAAGCTTAATACCAGGTAAATGTGTAGAGTTCATTTTCCTATCAACATTGTCAAATAAAACTTCATTATAAATACAAATATTTAAGAAAATAGTCAATGGATGAATTTCATTTCTTGGACTTTTCAGCAGTTACCTTCTTATTGCTGATGTTATTTTTCAATTTTTTTGTTGAAAGAAAGTCATCTTTTGTCATCTTTATGATATTAAATGGATTCTTATTTCTAGCTGCCTTAATAACTGTAACCAGGTCATCTGGAATGAAAGTATTTTTAATTTTTTTTTATTCTTCTCTACCAAGCCAAAATCATGGTCACAGGCAAGGCAGAGTGCCCACTAACATAGAACTTAAGATCTATGTTCTCAACCGTATAATCTGGATGGGCAATGATATACTGGCATATAATATAATATCACACTGGTCTGAGTACATAAATAGGTTTTTAGTGCTTACTTTCTCTATAATGTAATGCAGCAGGCAAGAATCTACCTCCTGCAGACTCCTTGAGGCTATAGTTTCATTCCAAACAGACATTGTTACTTCATCGTTTTGTGCATAATGGATCCCTATGCAATATATCCAAAGCTGTATTTTGTAATAGCGAACACCAGTAGAAACAACAGGAGTAAGTAGTTTTCATGAGTTCAAACACTATGACCGTCAGAATGAGCTTCAGCCTGGTTTTTATCTTGTTTTTAAATTATTTGTTGCAGATTCAGACTTTAAAAGATGTAGATTCCTTTGAGTCTCAAGTTCATTTCTATTGCTGGGTGCATCTTCAGCTTCAATTTTTATTTTAAAGCTATCACATTTTTTTGCATAAGTCAGTAAAGTAAAGTGAAAAGAAAGGTTGAATTGCTCATTAAAAACTTTTCTGATCATAAAATTTGATACTGGTTCTGAAGGTGAGGTCTCATTTTTGTATATAGAGATCAGTTTGGGCAAGCTCAAGTCAGACGTTAAAAACATTTGATTAGTGCTTTTATGCAAGGCATAATGAGACTCCTATTTAGGAAATCAATTAATAAAGTCCTTGACTGTTCGCATTTTGTGCTCTGGAGTTTTATTTGAAGGCACATGTTCCCTCAACAAAAGGTGTAGGAGTTATTAATTTATTTTTCAAAACTAGACAATCTGCCATCACTGACACCAAAAAATCTGTTTGAAAAATTCTTTACACACCGTAATGTGCAAGCCATCATCATTGGGAACTTGATACACCCCTGAATTTGGACATCTAGATTCAACAGAAGCAGTACGATTAACACGCACACAACATGTATTTTTGGCAAGAAAAGAAGATTGCATATCATAATTTCCCATGACATAAAAGCTGTTGAAGAGATTATTTTGCTGATTAGGTATAATTTTTTCAAGACAATTGTTTGCAATTGCATTTACGGGCAGTATCAATTTGTTTTGGTGGCAATATAACACCTTTAACATTAATATACTCCTCACCTCTTGAACACTTTTCCTTATATTCTTCTTCCACTTGCTAGGTTGTCTCACTTTTTTTCAAGGTTTACTTTGGATATCAATAATATCAGAATATACCAAGCAATACTGAAGAAGAAGTTGCCGAATTACGTCCAGATGGCAGGTAATATGAACCAGAGTCTTGAAATGGATCTTCTTCTATATCGAACCCAAAGATTTCTGTCAACAACAAAAATCTTAGAACACTAAAATGATGAAACAAACAAAGTTTTATCCATATTTCTTGAGTTTTCATGTTGTTTGTTATCCATATTAAAACAAATTATTCAGAAATAATAATTAATTATTTACTGATAATCTATTCAGAAGCAAACAAATAGCAGTACAGGCGGGAAATTAACTAATATTATGACATTGACAGTAGCCTAACTAACATTGTCATGATAGTGAAGTTACAACGACCATAGCGGCCTATTGTACATAGGCCGGAATGGCACTTTGGAATTAGATCTTTTGTTAAACACCATAAAAGTATAATATGTTGCCATCTATTGAATAATTACTGAATCACTTTTAGGCCACCATGGTTCAATCAAATTGTTCAGTTTGTTATAACTTTAACATTTAAAATCATAAACTCAAATAGTAAAAAATGTAGTAATGGCCTAACTATAGTTCTCATGGCCTCACTACAGCATCTGCTTTACACCTACTACATCTGGAATAAAGTTATCTCTCATTATCTCTATATCTTACAGCATCCATAAATATTAGGCAATCGCATCAAATCTCGGAACAAATAGTTATATTTGATTAGAATACAAAACAGGAAATAAAAACTGCCGTTGACAACCTGCCTGCCAAGCGTAGCAACTGTGGCAAATATCTTCCTTATGAGTCAATCTATGTGGAGGTCTATTTTCAGCAGTGTACTTTGACAGGCTGTAGTGAATGAATACAACCTTATATAAATTTACATTCATTATTCAACAGGACATTCAAGTTTGCTCAAGAATGTTGTGGAACCGGCTATTTGTTGTTCATAACTATCTTTTTAGCTTCTTTACAATTTTAAGTATGTTGGCAAATATTCATATTATATTGCTAACAAAAAACAAACTAATAATAAAAATGTTTAAAATTTATTCACTAATATGAGCATAATATTTATCATCTATACTAGCTACTAGCCCAGCTTTGCTTGGATAGGATCTATTAATGTAGCATTATTTAGATTTAAGACAAGTTATATCAACAATATTTCAATCCTTTTGTCTTTCAATTTGACACCGTCAAAGTTCCAAAGTACTGCACTATATGTATTTAGAAGTCTTGTCCCAAACAAATGGAGCATTGGCTGTTTAACGGGCTGAACACCTTGCCTGGTGGGAGATCTCTCCTTTTCCTTTTATGGCCAAACAATCAAGGGGATGGGCAGCAGCATTTTCCATATAACAACTAAAATAAAAAACTATGTTTGACAACCAGCTTGCCAAGCATGGCAATTATGATAAATAATATCTCCTTATGAAGTGTCCTATGTTAGCAGCCTATGTTCAGCAGTGGAGTTTTACTAGGCTGATATGGAATCCTGTATGTTAAGCCAAACGAAACATTTAAGTAGTTTGGTGGCCTTTTTAATAGTAAAGTAAAAGTAGGTAACAATAAAGCTTTGTTACCTAATGACTCACTTATATAATCGTGAATGCGTTGCACGGGTGAAGTTTGTGTTTTTGGTGAATTTAATGTGGCGAACGACTGTGGAATTTACTCATGTAAGTGACATGCATTTATCTTAATGAGTAATAAAGATCTTTAAACCTAAACCTATTTTATTAGGTAACTTAAATTATCATTCGACGAAAAAATGGTTTTGTATAGAAAAAAACTTAGTGCAGGAAAAATTATAGGCTAACACTAAGACAACACTTCAGTTACCTCGTTTTTTCTTTTTTGGTGTACTTATTTTGCTGCTGCTAGCTTCCGCATCTCTCCACTCGCGTCGAATACGAGTTAAAGTATTTTTATTTATACCAGTGGCCAAAACAACTCTCTCTGTCACTTTACTTGCATTTTGTAGAGTTTGCAAAATGCTAGCGTATATTTCACGAGTCATAATTATATTTCCATCTGGTCCTGAGGAGATGTTTGCTGTCTTTAATTCGTGTATCAATGTAACACTGTGCTGTTTCTCGCTCTCAAAGTATTTATCTACATTGCAAATAATCTCCCGAGCTCTCCCATGCAAAACAACGCCCCGTTTACTCATTTTGATAAATTCATAGTCAGCGAGATAAAAACAAATAATTTTAAATAATAATTAATAAATAATATTTTTTATTATTATAGTTTCTAACATTGTTTAGAATAATATGTTTTATTTATTAAATACAATAAAAACAAATAACAAAAACAAATATGACAAGTAATAACAACAAAAACCAAAGAGAACAAAACGGATACCATTTTTTTTAATTACTGAGTTTATGGCTATGGGTTCTAGTTCTTCTGAGCCTGAAGTTACAATGTATAATTATTATCCTTCATAGTACACTGCTTCACAATATGTTGATGCTTCACATTGTGCAGCTCTTTGATTTTGACGGCAACTTGAGCCAACAGACAGCTGAAAGTTAGCGATGGTATCTCAAGGCGCAAGGAGCAGACAGATACTTTATCTTGAGAATCACATCGCCATTAGAGCACTTGTTTCACTGTTTCTACTAATAGTTCACATGCGTAGACATTTAATCCACAAAATCGCACCACTTTTACATATCAAAATCCACTTCAAACCATTATTTAAACACTAATACAGGAGCAGCAATTCGTCGTCCGTCAAGTTCCCGCCAAAACTCAACGGATAACAAGTAGAAATGAAGCTGTGGCGGCGTTGTCGTCACGCCACAAGCAAAAACACATCGAAGTCTAAATCGCGCTTTCAAAGTTTCAAAGTTAAAGCAGTGTATGTAGGATAGCTCCGAACTACCACTCGGAGCGTTGGCCGCTCCCCGGGCAGAACACCTTGCCCGGCGGGAGATCTCCACTTTTCATTCCACCTGCCACAGTGGTGACCCCGACGTGATTTGAACACGCAATCAACAAACCTTCGGAAACAACACCTTCAAAACTTCATCATCCTCAAGTAGCCCATTCATTCGCTCCCGAGCTGATATTGTCTGCAGTCTTCACATTCTGCAAGCCATCTAGCTTTACAAAGGTTCATCGCAGCACTGGAATAATAATGCTTCCTGTTCCTTCAACCTACTCCGCGTTACAGTGTTCGGCACGGCTCTGAGCCTTACTGCTCGCCTCTGCTTCACGGCACTCTCGCAGAATACTTGCCTTCTTCTCGACTCACCGCAGACTACAAGGAAATCCCTGACACTTACTCTGGCTCATCGTTCTCACCGGCATCACTTGCAAGTGCGTAGTATGGCATGCATTACACTCCGGCATATCATTCGCACCGGCGTCACTTGCCCTTACGCACATAGCATGCATTCGCCACCGGCATTAAGGATGCACCGGCAATCGGACTGCACTATCGACCTCCGCTCTGAGCAGGGGGGTGATGCGGCGGCGCTGTCGTCGCGCCACAAGCGAAAACACATCGTAGCCTAAATCGCGCTATCAGTTTCGAAGTTAAAGCAGTATATATAGAATAGCTCCGAATTACCACTCGGAGCTTTGGCCGCTCCCCGGGCAAAACACCTTGCCCGGCGGGAGATCTCCTCTTTTGCTTCCACCGGCTACAAAGCCAAAGAGTATAGTAGATGAAGCG